CGTCACAGCTATTGTTTGCGACGTTGTCGGTGAATTTGATCAGTCAACGTTGCAACACCAACTTGAATTTAGCGTTATTCGTAGCGAATCGCCAGAATTTAGCGTAAAGCGTTGCCGGCCTCCCGGAATTTAACGTAAAGCGTTGCGAGCCTCCATAAATTTAGCGTAAAGCGTGTTGAGGACCCCCCATGCAGACCCTCACATATGTATGACCCTTTGCAACCCAAATGTCAAGTTTAGGTGATTTTGCACTTCCTATGTGATGTACAATGTACATACATTTTACATACAGCTTTTTTAACACAAAGCAAGGTATGAGGCCATAATGAGGGCCATTCCATTGTTGCTGTTGACAAGATGGCAGATAAAGACATTTCTAAAGGTGCCCACTGCACTTTTTAGGGCTTCAAAACCAGATATTCTAGCCAATATTCTAGCTACTGAACTACATACTGTACTAAGTTGAAACAACACCAATGTACATGTATATTGACATTCATGGAGTGAAAATGCTGAAAAGTGTGACAAAAATTGAGAAAATGGTTACTGGTAAGATCGTCCTGGGATGATTTTTGGAGTACCACCCAGAAAATATCGGACCTACTACTGGGGACCTACTACTGGGGTATCTTGGGGTTTGTTTCTCACTGTTTTAGATTTCCCAAAGAAAGGCATTTAATATCTGTTGTCAACAAGATGTAAACATGCCTTTGTATTGAAGTGAATGGAGGATGGTTAACTGGAAGAACAGAGAGTTTAAAAGGTGACTGCCCCCTTCTCGCCATTTAATGGACCAGCCCTAGTTCTACAGTTGTTTTGTGTTAGGTAAGTTGTTCAGGTGTGTCTCATCAGTAACACCCTGGTGAGTTCCATGATAGTGATTTGATCCCCTCACCAAAAACATGGAACGTGAGAGAGTTTGATCTACTGTACGCTTCTTTGATATACTCAAATTTTGCTGACGTTAATCATAAACAGCCACTCTCTCAGACCTCAGATCTACCATGATACATACTGCAATTGAACACTTTATGTTCGTGGTAGCAAAAGTTAGCAGTCTGAGAAAAACTCAGGACATACAATTGTATGTTCACAGTGGCGGTAGGTGCAGAAAAAGAAGAAAGTACCCGGTAGGCAAATTATTTGTTCCCAGTAATGATAAGTTTGCAGTACAGAAGTGAACAAGAAAACCTCAAACATAAAAGTACTGCAAAAAAAAAAATCGTGAATTACAGTATATTTCAATTTTTTGGACCTGGAAGTTCACCATTCACAATACTGTAAATTAATTGAAGGCATAACATCTTGTTCTTGATTAGCTTTAATAAAGTATGGGGTACTTGCAACAGTACAAATGTACATGTATTACATGTATGTGCCACCAACTGACCTGTAACAGGTCCAGACCTTTTGGCTTAGTGGTTAGGGTGTTGGGTTCATGAGCTGGCGGCCCGTGTTCGATTCCCAGGAGCGTTTCTACATGTAGTCGCCCCTAGTTGTTTCCGTGGTTCCCACACTGGCCCTGTGAGTAATGGCAAACTGTGATGCACATACAGTATCTTGAAAGTTCATCTGTGTTGGTAGAAGTCATTATGAAGCAAGTTTAAACTGTAATGTCAAACACAAGAAATTGGACTCACCCAAATTTTCGACTGTACAACTCCAGTCTTTATCAAGGAATGAGCAATCCACCACTTCTGTGATGTCACGCAGATAACACACGTGACTCCGTGAGCAGGGCACAGCACAGTAATAGGGCTTTCCTATGTTAATATATGGGAATTATGTCAAAACAACGTGGTCAACATTCATATACCTGAGTTTTAGACCTTGAAGAACATACATTGGCAGGGTAGGCCAACCTCTCAAGTCTCCATTCCCAAAAAATGACAAAATCCTACGCACCTAAACCATGCGAGAATTCTACCCAAACATTGAGAAGTGACCCCTGACCTCTCTGGACAGCTGATGACCGCATGTAAACCTATATCTTCTTCAGCCAGCCAGACAACACAAACATGGCTGCAAGTCTGTTTTTTCACCAAAATTAAAATACTACAACCCTTACCTATAACATCCAAGTCCAAAACAACAACATTTCCCTAGAAAAAGACTTCTTTACACTCTACATTACATTGCCATCTCTATATACTAAAACTGGGCCCTCTGCGCCTGCGCTATTACTAACCTTTGCCCAGCAGTGGATCATAGGTTGCAGAAAGTCTGTGGCGCCCCCCGTCTCTGCTGAGGGATGGTTGTAATGCCCTGATGTAGATGTCCTCTTTAATCCCTCGTGCAAAGAAATCCGGTTCTGAGTCCAAGATTCTTACTTTGTCCAGTGAGACTGAATGACCAGGCGATTCTATGTGTATATGTTGTGAGATGTGGGAGACCTGTGATGCACATATATTTGTAGTACAGGGATGTCAAATTTGAGGATGAAGCCTTAAAAGAAAAGGTGGAGTAGTCTAGCCGAAGGAATAGGTGAGGTGCATGAGGTGAGTAGTGTAACAGTGGGGTTCAAGTGCCACCAAGTAACCAGTCCGGACCTTTGGTCTAGTGTTTAGTGCGTTGGGTTCATGAATCTTCTAGCTCCCAAGAATTAATTACAAGTATCGAACCTGGGCTGCCAGGACATTTCGTGTTTCCACTCGCCCCTGGTTGTTTCAGTAGCTCTTGAACTTATTAGTCATCACAGCTACATTTGATCCCAGTCTGTGTAGTAATTAGCAAGGCAATGATTTGATGTGTCACCAGTCTGTCTTAACATCTGCAGGAAAAGAGGTCAGAGAAAGAAAATGATCTTTATTAATAGCCATTGTTTGCTATATTTTTTTCTCTAGTATTAAGAGACAAATAGATAGTTTCAAGTTGGCACTTGAATGATGGTCTCAGATGCAAAGGAGATCCGAGTAAGAACCTTTTTAACAAAGTGATCCTTAATGTACTTTGTGCTTGTTAGACATTGTTTGTTTGGTAGTTTTTCCCAAAGGTCAAGGGATGAATGAGATAGTTTCAAGCTGTTGTTAATTTGGAGATGTGTAGTTGGCACTTGAATTGATGAAAGTCAAATTGTTGATAGGTTCAGATGCAAAGTGGAACCATATGTATACATGTAAGTCATATGGAAGAGCTCTCTCAAATCTTGTTTAAGGCCACTCCAATTTGATTTGGTGGCTCTCATATTTTTTTCAGGAAAAATATGAAGCATCAAGGGGTAAAAAAAGTACAAAACATGCCTAAGAGGCATCTTATGTTTTCCCCAAATGCTACAATAGGAGTCAACATATGATGTACCTGGCTGGTTCACCACTACATTGATAGGTGAAAAAATGTATCTAGGAAGACATTGACTTTCCTCAACTGTATGTTGGGGCCAAAGTATGACTATGAGCATTTTGGAGTTGATTCAAAACCTAAGTAAAATCTATTTTTTCAAATACAAAAAAATTAAGTAGGCAAATCTGAGAACCAATTGATTGAATTGGTGTGGCCATGTGAATATTTTGTAATACATAAAATATTCTGGTTCTTCTCAAATGCATCCACCTTACTAATATTGTGTGTCCCTGTACCTACAAAGTTTGTGTGTGGGCACTCACTTAACTAGGCCATAGTTCATCCAGATAACACAGAAAGTCAACACCAATGGGTCCTGATACCAGCATCTCCAGTGTACAACTAAAGCTTCATGTTCACCGTGTACAAAGTTTGTGTGTGGGCACACAGTCAAGTAGGTCAAAAGAAGTCTAGACAACAGTGAAAGTGAACACCACTAGCCCCTGATAAAAGCACCTCAAGTGCAGCTTACCTGTCGTCAGTAGTAGGGAAAGTTGCACCTTAGGGCAGCACAGGGTTATCTATGGTAACGTAATACATTTTGGAACTACCTACAAGTATATAATGAGGAGATGTGGGAGTTGGAAAGTTAGTTTTCATTACATTTCGTACCCTAGGTATTCTTCAGCTACACGTATCTAGAAGTAGACCCCTGGGAATTTCTTTTTTATCGTAAATATGTCATAATCTCTTTAGGTTATTGTGTTGTTGAAATAGGCATGCCATTTTGTTGTGCTGCTACTGACTTTATACTAAAGGTTTAATCCTCACACAACATGAACATAAAGCAACAAGAAGTCAAAATACATGTACTGGTAACTTTACTTTTAAAACTGGTGAAATGTAGATCCTGAGAAGAAAGACATTGTCAGTTCCCTTGATGACTAGCATTATTCAGTTCTTGGCAATGTTGGATATGGTAGTTTTGTTAAGTCGGACTGAGTCCACTTTAAAAGGTGTGGAGGAAAGTTGTTGAAAGTCTGTCTGGGCTCTCTTGAAATCTCTTCAGGCAGCTGTTCAGCAAAGAGGTCTGTTGTGTTTCCTGGAGAGTCAGGTCTGGAGATGTATGACATCCACGCTACAACAACAAGTTTCACTGGGCTCCCCTGGTGGTATTGTAGGAATCGAGCCAGATCCCTTAAGACACAAAACAAAGGAAGTGTCTGCCAGCGTCTTAAGTGCTGTCTGACCATGTTCGTCCTTAAGCCTGGGGCTTACATACTTTGTTTTTTGTCTGGAAGAAAAAAGTGGGCTGATTTATAAGACCCTGTTCTAGCAAAATACTAGAAATATAGCAAGCTTGGCAGAATTTGTAGTAGCCTGGATGCCAGACCCACAGCAAGCTAGGCCTATGAGAAATTGGCCTATGTAGACCCTGGAAACAGTCTGGTACATAGGCTACCGGTAAATTTGTAGCGGCAATAGAAAATCGGGGAAATTTGCTATAAAAATTTTGCTAGTAGTTTTTGCAGTTACTGTATTACAAAGTGGAAGCAACATTTTACATTTCAGTTAGTGAGGAAGAGCAGAAAAAGGTTAGACTCGTTCAATGCACAATAAAGAAGTATCTTATTCTACCTACATATTTTGCTGTGTCTTCTTAGTAATTAGTGACTTGATCAATGTTGCTAACAAACTGTCCTGTTGTTCTGGTTGTACAGAGCTTCGATGCGTGTGTGCTGGAGGAACAGGTGGAGTGTACGCGGGGACTGCATTACATCATCCCCTTCTTCTGCGGACAGAGACCAGGCTGCAGGTACGTCCTCAATGCACTTTTGTCCTGTACCCTGACGTACTGTAATTCACTTTATGTTCATGGTGGTAAAAGCTCGCGGTGTGTGAAAAATGTCGGAGCAATACGAACTGCAGTGTATATTCATGGTGGCATCAGGTCCAGAAAAAAAGAAAGTCCATAAATTATTTGTTCATGGCAATGATAAGTTTGCAGTACAGAAGTGATCGCACAAACCTTAAAGTACCATGAAAAAAATCAGTATTTGTTGTGGATGTGTGAGGAAGTGAGGTGGTAGGAACTATTCCGAAAATGTGTCTGTCACTAGATTGTGAGAGTATTTTGAAAGCCCCATCTCAAACAGGTAGAAAGGAATTGTTTGTATTGAATGATGTTTAGAGGAGATGAAAAGGACAGTCACGTGACCACGAGGTTAAAAGGTCAACACAGGTCACATGACTAGATTGATTCGAATTGCAAGTTCATTTACTACTAATACTGTGTAGGCTCTACAAGAAAATGTGTTTCTCTACAAAAAAATTCCTGATTTATTTGTGATACGTATATGTACAAATGTATATGTTTGCAGTTTTCATGGTCACTTCTGTCCCACAAACTTATCATTACTGTTCATAAATAATTCACCGACTTTCTTTTTCTGCATCTGCCGCCACCCACGAATGTATACATGTAGTTCCGTGAACACTTCCATTTTTATCAGACCTTGAACTTTTGCTACCATGAACGTAAAGTGAATTACAGTAATTGTTTTGATCTTAAATGTTTATTTTAATGCTTAAAATACAATGTACATGTATGACAAACATTTCATATTAACCACTGTCTCACCGTACACAGTAATAATATTACATGTATACCATTTACAGTAGGCATGTTACCCAAGTATTTCATCAACTTGAAATTTGTTAGATTCAGGTGATGTCAGATTTCCAAATCTGTTACATGTACAAACTAGAGTTCCCCGATCTCATACCTTCGCCAAATGATGTTAATCTTTATGACTGACAAATTATAGATTAGATTATTCCCCCCTGATTTAAGATATAGGAACCTAATTTTCATGAATTATATCATTTTGTCATAATCTCAACCAAAAGACAGTCTTATATTAACAAACAATGCATTCTAGCATTTCCTAATAAATTATGCAAATGAGGTGCTGATTAGAATAAATCATGTTTAATGATGTTCACCTCAACTAAACTTTCAAATACCACAAGTATGAAATTCCAGGCAGTTATCATTACATAATTATAAAACTTTCTCATTAATTATGCAAATTAAGTCATTATTAACATAATCAATATCTTCCTGTGTTTCTCTCATTGTCAATTACCAATGTCACAAGCTTCAATTGTCCTATCATGGAATGCAGCTGATTTATAGAATTTCCCCATAAATTATGTAAATTACATCCATATTTGCATAATTGTCACATAATTATATTAAACATCACGTAAGCTACCTACATACCAAAAATCACGACGATCCGTCAAACGGTTCTTGAGTTATCCCCTTTTGAATAATTTCAAGAATATATCCCTGCAGTTCCAGAGCAAGCCGCTAGGGGACCCAAACTCACGTCACTTCTTCCCCAGCACGAGAGCTACCTACCATCCAAATTTCATCACCATAGCATGTCTAGATCATGAGATATCAAAACCGGAAGTTCAGCTGCAGTACCATAACAAGCCGCTAGGGGGCCCAAAATCTAATCATTTTGAGGTCTCATCAAGACCTACCCACCTACCAAGTATCAAAATAATCCATCAAGGCCTTCTCAAGTTATCGTGTTTACAGACAGACAGACAGACAGACAGACACACACACACACACACACATACACGAACGCCCCTGAAAACATAACCTTCTTGGCGAAGGTAACAAACTCCTGCTGTCCAACATACAAAGCCTACACTGATGAAGATTAATATTTCCATGGAGCGAATGCCAAAAATGTGCCATGGCAGAACTAGGAGTGATAAATTTCTTCCTGTTGTTAGTTTCTCAATGCCCGGATAATGTGTGAGAGAGTGTGTTTGTTTCAAAATGATGTTATTTGAGCTGTCACATCATACACAACCTTGACACGCACAGAGCCTTGCTCCTAGACTGTAGCAGCTTGTACTTGTTTGGCAGGCAACGGCTGGAAAACACACAAGTTGGAGGTGGAAGAAACGAATGCCACACAAATACTAGCATTACTCAATACAGAAAGAAGACAATACATTAGTCAGAGGAGAGGCCAAGTTTTTTTGGACAAGAGCCTATCACAGCATGGTAGTCTTTGATATATTTGACTGGAAGTCAAGAACTATCAGACAAACCTCTTTAGAATTTGTTGTGTAAGAATTGACTGTGGTTGATCCAACCACAGTCAATTCTTACACAACAAATTCTAAAGAATGGTGGAGAAAAGAACAAAACAGAATTTCATGGTATCAGTATTGTACAATGTAGGTACTTGATAAAGGACACCATCTAAGGTACTAGTATTGCCCATAGTGACCCAGTCATGTTCAATGCCATTCTACATTGTGCAAAGACTCCATACTGTTGAAATCAATGGCAATTTGGCCGATTTGGTTAAAATTTCTTGCTAGTTTTCAATAAACGTTTACTGCCAAATGCTTGAAAATGGCGTGGTTATCATAGTCAATTATCGGGCCATGTGCGGTCCCAAAAAGTACCAGACAGTAGTGTTGGTCAGCTTAGGTCAGCTTAGGCAACTCTCTGGACGAGAAAAATTGGCCGTTATGGTCACATACATGGCCGTGTTATAGAGGTGGTGACTTGGGCAAGTTTGACTGTACTTATATCTGCATCCCATGTATCCAACCATCAAGGATATCACATCCAGAACCCCCAGGTGGAGAGGATAGGTTTCTCTACACAGCAGACACTAGTCGGTAAGAAGGATGCACAAGTAGGCTTGGTGTGGTGACAGGACACTGTGATAACTCTGTGTGTCACTCAAACAACAAGATGGTGAACTGTTGCATTTCAGTGTTATTGGTGTCATATGGTCTTTTATTGCATAGCCAAAATGGTGGAGGTCTGTGCTCTCTGAGTGCCTTTGATGCTCACTGTACACATGTGCCTGAGCACGTCGGCAGAACGTACTGGACCTGCGCGAAACCCGTAATGTATTGTACATACATGTAGGACTTCGGCAGAATGTCTCATATAAGGTTGTATTCGCTCATATAAGGTTAGCATTTTGACAGTAGTTTCCAAATGTTGTGTCGGAACGAATATCCTCTGCAACAGGCAAAATTATGATGCAACGTTGACCAAAAACCCAACGAAAAACGTGAGAATACGGGGTTCTGCGCAGGCGCAGTACGTTCTGCCGACGTGCTACATGTATATGCCTGTGGCTAAGATAATAAGGCCATGTTGATTTAATTTCAAGGATGACATCCGCGCACATGAATTTTCGTCCGTTTAAAAAAAAGGTTTTTGACCAAACTGTTACTCATACAAAGCAGCTACAGAGGATTTCATCCATATACATGTAAATGTATTTATTTATTTATTTATTTCTGTTTTATTTAAACAGGGTAGAAACCTCAGTGCTATTTAAAAACACTGCTTTTCAGGAATGCCCCGTGACAACAAGTTACACATGAAGACAATGAAACCGACACATTAAACAATACATAAAGTTACAAAATGACCAAGCGTCAAAATGACATTATTGTAATCAAATCAGCATGGCCTAAATGTATGGAGATAGTTCTATCTATTGTGCTGCTGAACACATTTTTTAATGTTTCACTGTGATTTCAGGGAGCCATCACGATGGGCACTGGAGAAGGCCAAAGACAACGTCTTGGACAAGTTTCTAGTTGTGGGGATTCTGGAGGAGTTTAACGACACATTGAGGGTCTTCGAACACCTGCTGCCTAACTTCTTCAAAGGAGCCATGTCTGTGTGGGAGAACCCACCTCAGTGGGGTAGGTTGTTGTCTTTTTTATTTGCTTTATTTATCTATTTCATCATATTTTTCATTATTTATGTATATTTATTCATTATATAATTCACCACCGGTACAAAATGTATGAAGGGAAGGGCAAAATACTAGTTGGTGTAACACCATCACAAGTTGCCCTCCCAAATACTACAATAAGGCAATACAAAACAATATTGTACATTATAAACATCACATATACGTGCAAAACATGAGTAAGTAATGATAAAAACTGTACTACCGGTAATACTAATGAAGTCTTTAGGCTATACAAAAGGAACACCCACAAAAAGCTTTCCTAGCTACAACACAATGTAGTCATATAATTATTGGTGGTACCCAAAAAACAAAGGGTCTCCTTGGGTAATTTAAATGCCTCAAGTATGAAAATGTGAAATGGCAGTTAATATCAATATCAGACAGATATTCTCATCCATTCCTATTTCGTTTTGCTGCCCCGAAATTGCATAGCAAATTTTTTCTCCCAACATCTGCTTGGAGTTTAAACAGTGCACTGGTGCCATGAGAGTGCTGTCCTGGACTGTTCCATTAGCGGTGCTGTCAGGACAAGTCCAGGCTGTATTTACAGCTGTTGTGAGACATGTTGACCTGTCCTGACCTCACCCCCATGTGCCCCCTTTCTTGTTTCCACCCAGAACGTACACAAACATTGCCGGGCTCCGTCCTCCCATCCTGTGAAGTACATTTGTACTTTAAAAAGTTCTTTCGAGGAAAAAGTTGCCTGTATGACTGTGGACAAATTTGTCGGCCACTTAACCAATGGCCAAGTCACATCTTTGTGAAGCTGTAAATCACATTTTTTTTGCCATACTTTTACATTTGTAGTCATTTCTGTACTGTAAATTTATCATTACCTTAAACAAATTATTTGTAGACTTTCTCTCTTCTGCACCTGCCACCACTGCAAACATAGAGGTCTGCGAACAGTCCATTTTTCTCAGATCGCGAAATTTTGCTACCACAAATACAAATTTAAGTGATTTACGGAAGTATTTCAAGCCTTTTTTTTGGCATCCAGAAAGTACAAAGTAGTTAACAGTGCATAATCGAGAGTAGATATTACAAGGATTTTCCAAATCCTAACTGCCCATGATTCATACTGTATGTATGATAATGGTATTAATTAATATAATGATGATTAAAAACTAAGATGACAGTGGAGCAAGTCTAGGGAGGGGTTCCTCTGTAGGAGTGATGATGCCCTGGATTGAGAGTGAGAGAGATTAAAAATGAGCTTCAGTACATTTGCACATTTGTTGTGAGCAGGTTTTTAGCTAGGGGGTGTCCAGGGTGTCTTTTGGACGCCCTGTACTGAAAATAATAAGAAATTGGATGCCCTACTTTTTTGTAGGACACCCTAAAGACGCCCTATTTTTTCCACTCCCAACCCTTGCCATGCACACATGCCTCCCTTCAGCCTTACTATAAATACAAAAATGATGGTTTACTGAAGGAAAAAACTCAAATTTACACCTGAAAATGCAGAAAGTAGTGTTTGAGAGCATTATGAATTTCAAAAAAGCCCCCCTAAAATCTTGCACTCAGCAGGTCTTCACTGTGCATAGCATACAATAAAAAAAAATGGACGCCCACCAAAAAATCCTAGCTAAAAGCCTGGTTGTGAGACTGAGTGGTCTCATCTGGTAGTTTGATCTCTCCACAAGTGTTCAACCCAAAGGTTGTCAGGTTTCACGTGTTTGTGTTCTTTAGGTCCTGCTCCATAAAATCCTGGCTACTGGTGTTAAAAACTGCCCACTTGTAAATAGGTGATGGTGGTTCAGGGCAAGAGCGCTAGCCAGCTCTAATTTTTTTCATGATTGGGCCAGGGGGAAGAGTGCTCACAATCTACATGTAGGGGGTGGGGGGGCCTGGGAGACTTTTGGATTTTCAATTTCCCGCATTGATTTTGAGAGGCAAATCATGGGGTCGAGAGTGGTTGTTAGTGATCCTTTTGATGTTTTTATATGATGACCAAAGATTTTTGTCAATTTTGTACGTCAACGTTGACTGATTGGTTTAGAAGTTTTTCTGTCACATACCACTAAGTTCCTACAATATTGACGGAAAAGGTTAGAACCCTGCCTTGAAGTATTGGTAATTACAGGTAGGATACAATTTAGCAGTAGTTTGTAGAGTAGAATCATTCCTCAGTATTAAAGACATCTGGACCCACCTTCGCCACGCAGACTGAAGAAGTCACAACAGCAAAACTAGTCTGAGCTGAGTGAAGCACTGAAAAAAGGCTCAAAACGGGAACCATGCTGCTCAAGATGTCTTACTGAGGAATGACTGCGGTGCAAAAAATCAAACTGAATGATTAGAGTCATTTGTACTGTAGAGTCATTTGGCTGTAGCTTGAACACATTTTTGGTCTGCATTGCTGATAAAGAACACAACATACCCCTGCCCTGCTATGTGCAGGTTGGAGACCCCACAAACTGACCAACAATAAACATGGCCTTCTTTGGTATCCCCTCTGTGTTTTGGGGTAAACTGCGGAAATTTCACACCCAATCAAGCAGAAAATGGTATTTGGTCCAAACCAAGGACGACCATTGGTAGACTAGAGCAGACCAGCTGCACCAGTGCTAAACACCAGCGGGTAGATGCTTGTTGATGTTTATTTGAAGGCGGATGAATAAAGGGCTGCAAAGGTAAACACTTGTTTCACGTGTCTCGGACATTTAGCACGGACTGGAATGCCTGAATTGTGTGCAGCTGGTCAGGTATGACTGGACTGACCATGGAGAAGCCTTGGGCCTAGGAAAATTAATGTTGTGTTTCTGGTTTCGTCAGTAAGAAGGGATTTCCTTCCTTTTTTTTCAAATTTTCTTTTTAGATGTCGGCAAAAATGCTCCAACAAATAAAATTTAGCAATGCATTGGGGCTGTCTCAAGGACCCGTCCACCTGTTTGCTTGTGGAGAAATATTTCACCCAATTTACTGAAGAGAAATTGCTTCTGAAATTGTGTGAAATGACTTTCAAGAATTAAGGGATTGAAATTCAGATGTGAGGTAGAAAGATGTTTCAATAAAAAAGGCTAGATCTTTGGGTTTTTGCTAGGGTCAGCTTGTGCCACACCTGTGCAGTGCAATGTGAACCAGTCAAAATTTGCCAGAGGAAGGTGACAGACGGTCACCGAAACGTCGGCTGAATAAAACACTTGGTTTCACAAAAAGAGTCTCTTTATTTATCATCATTCACCATAGTTTAGTGGTTGTGTACAAACTATGAGGAAGTAACATTCTCTCTCTTCCTCCACAGTACGGCAGCTTTACAACAGCTCTAAGACTGCGAAAAAGCCGACACCTTCACCGTTCATCCGAGACAAGTTCCGACGGAGAATGAAGCTGGAGTACGAGTTCTACTACTTCGTCCGCGACATTTTCCACAACCTGAAAAACAAACTGGGCATCCCCTCCACCCCTGACCAGGTAGCCTACAGAAGCGATCCACTCTACAAGGAAATCATGGCCAGTAAATCGACCAAGCTGACGTCGTACGCCCGAGAACAGCCGGTTATAGCAGTGGGAGCAGACAACAAGGATTACGACGAAAACGAAAACGAATACGAGGATGAAAGAAAGGCTTCTGACAGCACGGCGGGGGCTGCCACGATACCAAAAATTCCACAAGAACCAATCAAAAGAGTTGATCCAAGACAAGCACCAATAGATGAGACGCAGAAACATGTTTTGCATGTAAAAGAAGTTTTTCCACAGAATGTTTATCCTAATACCAGGGATCAAAATGCCTTATCGGGTGGCACAGAAATGGAAAGAGTTTTAGAACAGGCTCAACGTATAGTGAGTGCTGCTGTTCAGGATAACCTCAACTCTAGGACTTCTGAAACCCTCAGTAAAACACACAACACTGAAGACAATGAAGAGGACAACTACGATGATGATGAAGATGAAGATGATGAAGATGATAGGGAAGATTAAGGATGACGTATTCCAACAGTACTTAACATCTACTATTGTCAGTGTCCCACCCTTAAGTACACTGTATCTGGCATCTCCAAAGTTATGTCCAATTATTTGTCCATGTATGTGCTCTTCTACAACTAGCCAATCTGGAGTGTATTTGATATAAGGCCACACCAATTTGATTTGTTGGCCATCAGATTTTTCCAGAAAAAAAAAATGAAGCAACAGAGCAAAAATAACAACAGGCCTAGTATAATAGCCCCAAAGTCAACATACCAGGCTGGTTTGTAATTGAAACAATGAGTTTTAAACTTTCATCAAACCAGTGCATTGATAGATGAAAAAACTGTAACAAGTAGAAAGACAAAGAGCTTCCTCTAACTGTTTCTTCCAAAATATGAGCATTTTGCAGTTGATTCAGAACCTGAATCCTTGTTGTTTTTTGTTTTTTTGCAAATTAGAAAAAAAATTAAGCAGGCATATCTGGTAGCCAATAGATTAAATTGGTGCAGCCTAAATGAATACTTGCTATTCATGTTCCTGTTGTGTAGTAGAATGGTGTATCCTAATATTTTTTCTGTGAAAAAAACTTCTCAGAGGTTTTGTACTGTGCACATGTCTACTTAAGCATAGAAGTGACCGTATATTTTCAAAGGATCCAAATTTGAAGTAATAAGGCTAATATTTCATGTAGTTCTTTTAGGCAATTAAGGAATATGTAAGTAATAATTTGAAAAAAAATGGTCTTAATATGGTGTAGATTTGACAAATGTTTTATGCTGTTATGGGAAAATATAAATTGTGAATTTCTGGTGGAAGGTACAAGTACTTAATTGTGGATATAAGAATTCATTGCAATTTTTGTTCTGTCAGAGTTGAAAAGCTGATCTGTTACATCATTTAAACCAAAGTGCCTTCGCTTAACCACAGATGATATAGACCATAAGTATTGAATGCTCAGTGGACCAGTGAATTATTTCCAGGTGTTGAGAATTTCGTACAAAGTGACCTTACAGACTATATTTTTGTGTTTGAATGAAAGCTCATCTGTGTTGGTAGAATCCATAGTTGTAGAGTTTAAGCTGTGTTCCAACAATTTTCAGTTCATCTCGATATAGAACTTTATCAGATGTGTGCTTCCATGGATGAAGGTCGACGAGATTGACTGAAAATTCAGTTTCTTTGTTGTGTTGGAAGTTGGAACAGAGCATTAACTCTACAGCAATATTTTTGTATGTTTCAAAATTTGATAAACACAAGAGTTTCACAAGAGTTTTGGATGTCAAGATACGTTCCGTCTGATATCATGTTTTTCCAAATCTTTTGCGGCATGAAAAGATATTCATGTACTTAAGTTGGGCAAATTCTTTCGATGATGTTTTTAGTTCTTTCCAGTACTAGCTCAGGAGCTGAAAGGATCTCTACTGATCAAATTCCTTTTTTTCCTGTGTTTTAAAAGCATATTTACCTCAGAATCGGTAGTCAGTTCTGTATTGAATTGACATTTGGTTCCGAAATGTCCAAAATACTGTAGTTCACTTGATGTTCACAGTAGCAAAATTTCACGGTCTGTAAAAAATGGAGGTGTTCACGGACGGAACTATATGTTCATGGTGGTGGGGAGAGGGGGAATTATTTGTTAACAGTGATCATACAAGTTTGCGGTACAGCAGTGACCGTGAAAACCCTGAACACTAGTACCGTGCAAAAAAAATCAGGAATTACAGTAGTAGACTAAAGCCATAATAAACATGTGCCTTTGTGTAATCTCCAAGCAGATATGTTATTTTGGGCTCGAGTTTGTAAGAAAAAAAGTACCAAGACTTAGTGAAAGATGTTTACAACTCAGCCCAAACCATGTATCTGCTTCAAAACAACCTCAGGTGGCATGACTTTGATCGTTGAAAGCCTTCGTAGCATATAACACCTATATTGTATATTGTTTTGTGCATTCATGCTTTTTAACTGCTGTAAATTGTAAAAAGTAAATACTATAAGGCTTTGGTTTGAAAGAATTTACTAATATATCTGTAGCCAGTAGGGTTAGCATACTTTTAACCTTCAGCCTGCCAAGGTTTATGGGGTTAGGCAGCCGGGAAAAGGTTGATAAAAATGTATTCTCCTGTCCATATGAGGGGAATAACAGTTGAAGCCACACAACGTCTCTGCATTTTTGCTGATGGATGATTTTGTTTCCTTTTTAGTTCACCAATGGATTTGGAAACTATTTTGTAGCAACAGGTTTTGGAGATCTTAACATGAAAGTTGTGTTGGTAAATTATGGAGAAAGGACTAAACTTTACAAACCCAACACTGGCGTGAATTTGTAAAAACCAGACTGTGAAAATTTCCTGCAGAAATTTTTGATAGAGTTCAGTCAAACTTTATTCCAGGTTTTGGCTTGTAAAGTTTAGTCCTTTGTTCATAATGTTTTTAAAGATATTATTGTATGGGAAAACTTGCTTTGATTGCAAGTGTTGGATAAAGTGGCAGATGCACTGTGTATCACAGGTTATGGGAAAATGTGTAAAATTTTTATGGTGAATTAAAACACAGCTTTTTGTGCTGCAGTCTTTGTCTTCTCTCTCAATGCCAAGTTTTTAGAAATACATGTACAAGGCTGAATCACATTGTCAGACTTTACTTAGAAGTTACTTCCACGTACTAGATTGTTCCCATCAATTGCAGTTTTAGGAAAACTGGATTTTCAAACTCTGTTTTCTGGTCATTCTTAAAATGTACTAGCCTCCTTCGCAGTCTTGTTTGGCGTCGGCATTATTTTTTCTGTTGGAGCGCGAATCCTTCTCTCCGTGGCAAAACTCCCTCGGCAGCAAATCGTCCCTCGCGGCCGCATATTACTCGTGTCGCTCACAGAAAAAATAATGCCGACGACCAACAAGGCTGCGAAGGAGGCTAAAAATGTAGTGTAGGATCAATCCCATAGCATGCCAATAAAAATGGTTGTTCTTTTTTATCATAGGCTGGTTCAACCTATTTATGAGTGGCACCCCTAAAGAAACACCTCTCATAGCTTGTTTTGGGGATATTTCAAACGCTTCAAAAATGTGCTAAGAAATGGCACTAAATGTCAATATCAGACAGATTTCCTCATCCAGCATTTTTAGGTTTTGCCGCCCTGAAATTGCATTGGATGCCTTAAAAAAACAGCTTTTTTTGCTGCAGTTCTGTTTTCTCTCATAATACATATATAAGCAATGTCAAGGCTTCTTTTTAAACATACAAGGTCAAATCACACTCGTTGTCAAATATCACAGAATTTACGGGCCTTACAATTTACTCAGATGTTACTCCCGCACATGTTCTCAGCCCTGCATGGCTTCAGACTTGCGTCCCTTCCCCATGACTGACATACCAAGGATATGCTGCTATGGGGAGTGAATATCTGAAATGTTTCACCCAGCTCCTGACACATCACCCAATTTTTCAGGGCTGCCTCAGTGCCACTTCAAATGGAGGGGAACCAATTACTTCATTCTCTGACAGCTTGTGCTTGTCATGTGCCACCTACAAGGACCAGTGGGGGAGGCTATAGCTACAGCATCATGTGTTCAACTTTCCTTGACATTAATTAAACTGGGAGTAGTACCAAAAGTGGAGAACTTTTGTGGACAGACAGACTGCTCCTAGGGCTGACCAGCTAGATTGTATGGGCCTGAGTGAGTGAGTGGATCTAGAGTGAGTGAGTGAGTACCAAAGGACAAAAAAGAAAAATAGTTCTTGTGCACCAGTCCTGTTTTATTAATATAGATTGAATGTACACATTGTGTAGTTTTTTTTTGGCATTTTTTATGCAAACAATGCACTGAGTTTTGATCTGTGATGATGTTGTCACTGAGAGAACTTTTCCCAGCATGCACTGGGTGGGTGATTGCATAAATGCCCTGATTTAAGGTGATGGTTACCAACTCTTCTTTTGAAGAAAATCATTTTGGTTGATAAATATATATTATTCTGAAATGCTAGTATTACTGATAATTTGTTGGTGAAGGTTAGACATGATTCCAGGTAATAATGTATGCCAGAAACTCGAGCAACTGAACATGATTTTGGAAACGGTTAGACGTTTCAGGTAGCATCCACTACCTTAATGGTCTGAGTGACAATGGAGAATAAAAGCGGGTTTATTAACAGGAACTGCTGATAATGACCTATTGAGAAAATGACATGGTTGTCAATTGCTGACCACACAAGCTCATATTGTTTTGGTGGCCCCACTTCCTCAGAGGTTGTGAGAAATTCGAGTCTGTTTGACTTCACTCTGGAACATTCCATCAGCAAGCTTTATTTGGGTTGGCACCACTGTACAGAATTTGGCATGTATGCCTGACCCAAATGAGACTGTCAACAAGGAAAGCCTGGAGGTCGGGCTAAATTAAGCTGTCCGGTAACCGTGTTGAGGAGGGGGTAGGTGTGGACAAATAAACTTCAAAGACACAAAGTTCGTGGACAGACCAAAGGGACGAAAACAGGGTCATGAGGTTCAAGGCTTGAGAGTCCTGACACACTAGTGGTACAATGTACAAGTGTGTGCCAAGTGTCAAGAATCTAATAAGAATCAAATGTCTTTGTGCCAAACATGAAGGAAAGATGTCCTGACTTCACCCTGATTCTTCATGTAAACTTAGAACGGTAAAATCATGCCCGTAGCCAGGAGTTTGACTGGGGGGGTTCTTCCCACTGCTTGAGGGAGGTTCCTAGGGGGGTCCAGGGGCATGCTCCCCCAGGGAATTTTGAAAAAATGAACCTTCTGAAATGGCATTTCCTGCGTTTTTGTAGAGGATTTCAAAGAAAAAATCAGAGAAAACTTTTTTCAATGAGAAAGTGTCGTTTTCCTACGATTCCAGCCTTGCTAGTGACACGAATCAGTCCAAAAATCTTGGACCTTTAGATAAAAAGTGGACCAAAAAGTGGACCTTTGAGCCTTGTGGGGGGGGGGTGTTCTTCCGAAGCCATCTAGGGAGGGTGCTTGGGACTGGCAAATGGTAACTTTGACTTGACCTTCTTGGGATCCAATCAGCTTGCCATTTGGATACTGCCTGGCCAATTTGATACTGTCTCAGCAGCCACCAAAAGATCTGCTTGGAGATCAGTCGACTAGTCACTCCCTTCTATGTCAAAGAGTTACAAGTAATGTACATGTGTACATGTATGTACTGACTCAGTACACCTAGTACATTTCCTGGGGATGGGCCAACTCTGTCATGGTCCAAGAATTCCCTGGGATGAGTCAACACTTTCTCTAGAGCATTGTCTTCCCTCACCATGAGATGACATCCAAATGGCAACACAACGTTGACATTAAACAAAAGTAGCGTGTGTAGTCAAGTGGTTAGCGATCCTCCCACTGGACCAAGAGGTTGGGAGTTTTAATCCTCTTTCTTCAGAAAGAGGAAACTCAAGGAAACTGTTACTCAAGCAACTGGATAATTTTTTAAAACTGTTGGACTTTTTAAGGAGCATCCACTATTTTTCATTTAATAGTGACTCTCATTTGTTACTGACATGGATGCCTACTTGAATTTTGACAGTTTTCAAAATGTATCTAGTTGCTTGAGAAACAATTTCCTTGTGTATCTCTTTACCTGGGTGACCTTCATCTACGTAGTACTACATGTATCCTGAAAACACGTATACTGCAGCTGAAAACCCAGGATTTTTCATTGAATGTCTGATTATTGCATTCAAATTCTGCCGGTTGCAGTTAATATCTTTTCTAACTCAACATTTGAAAACTGTAGATGGGATGTCCTCTTCAAATGTGTAAATATGGCCAAGGACATTATCATAGAGTCTATACAATGTCCTTGATACTGTGAAGTACTATGCAGGTGCAGTACTTTCTGCCGACATGCTTTATATATACTTGTACGTACAACCAAATTCTCCAGAGCTCCCATCATTGGAAGGTCAATCTTTGCAAATCTATAGAATCAAGGATTCATCTGTCAAATACCTCGAGTTCAGCACTTAAATGAACAAGACACTTCTTGAAAGCAAAGACTTGGTCTTGTTAGGACATGCAAATTGAGTTCCATGCTGAAAGGATTTTGTCCTCAAAGGACAGGGGGGAGTGAGTGAAAAACAAATCATTTCTAATCCAGCTGTTCTCCAGGAAGAAACCTCAAGGTCAGGATGTCACGCTACAATCTTACCACACAAGTTGCTCTACTTAACAGGGAAGGTGTTTGTGTAAAGCCTGTTACACATAGAGAACCTTCCCTCAACCACCATGAGGCCACACCAATTCGATTTGTTGGTTCTCAGATTTTTTCAGAAAAAATTGAAGCGACAGGGAAAAAAAAAAACCCACAAATCTAGGCGTCCTCTGATAGCCCCAAATGATACATGTAGGTGCCCTGAGGTCAACATACATGTACCTGGCTTGTTAGTAATTCAATCAATGAATTTAAACCTTAATTTACATGTAATCAAACCCGCGGAACTATACGTTCGCGCTGGCGGCAGGTACAGCAAAAAGAAAGTCGCAAATTATTTATTTACAGCAATGATAAGTTAGCAGTACAGAATTGACCACGAAATATGTGAAAAGTACTGTAAAAATAGTCATTTACAGTATCGAACATGCGAAACGAACATACTCTACTCTTTAGAAGCTAATCCTGTTTTCAAAGACTAACAATCCCTCAGTGACGTCCAAGAGGGTATGTTTACTTCATCAACTCATACATCCGTCCCTGGTGCTGCCTACCACAGTAAATGCGTTTTGTTCCTTTAAGAAGGTTGAAAAAGCAACTGAGGCAACATCTTAAGTGGGAAAGACCCCAGCTGCTCTTTGAAGACGTCTTGGCAAGGCAGCTGAAGTTACCTTTACTTAATACTCTCAGGGCCAGGCATAGTTACTCCAGTGTTCTGGTAAATCTTCACTTTGACTTAACAAATATACAGGTTGCTTTTCCAATGTCAGGTGTTATTGGAGTTTCAATTAACCATGTTATTTGTGGGTACAAAAGATTTACTGCAAAGTCAACACAACCAGGGAAAGTCATTGATTCCACATCTGGTCAGCCACTAGCACAGGACATTGGAGCCAAGGAACCTCACTTAAGGACACACCAATTTAATTTCTTGGTTAAAGGCTTCATTTTTTTCTGATTTGCAAAAAATAAAAAAGATTCAGAATCAACTGCAAAATGCTTATATTTTGCCCTAAACAGTTGAAAACAGTCCTTTTCTTCCTAGTCGTTACAGTTATTCCATCTTTCAATGCAGTGCCTACCATTAAAAGTTCAAAATTCATTGTTTAAATTTTGAACCAGCTTGGTGTGTTGTCTTTATGGCTCCTATCATACCATTTGGGGCCATATTAAATAGGATGCCTAGGCCTGCTTTTATTTCTAATTTTTTTGCCTGCCCGCTCCATTATTTTTCTAGAAAAATCCGTTAACCAAGAAATTGAATTCGTGTGGCTTAAAGGCATCCAATGTAATTTCATGGTGGGAAAACAAAAGATATTTTGGATGAGGAAATCTGTCTGATATTGACATTTACTGTCATTTCCCAACACAAATTTATTAACATTTAATACCTGAAGAGTTTGAAATAACCCAAACTAAGCTACATGAGGCCTCTCAGTCTTTATTTTTGGGGGTACCACCTATAAATACCTAGAACCATCCTACTTTACAAAATAAACCCTTTTCCCTCAGCGACATTGCCTCACTGATATATGCTATAGAATAGTGTACAAAGAATAGTGTACATTGTCATGTAGGTTCAAGTTACATTAAACAAATGACCATAAACTTGGCTTTGAAACTTTTCTGCCCTGAAATTGCATTGGATGACTTTAACTTGAATCGATGATATAAGGTTTGACTCTGACCTAAAAAAGGAAATTCCCCACAATAACACACAAATACCAGGTAAATAATCCAACCATCTACCACACTGCCCCCTCAAACACACAACCACAAGTTGACCCTTTTCCACCAAGATAAGCAAGCAAAGGGCGGAAAGTTCGCCCCCTCAAAACACATCTCTCTGAAACTTTCAAGATCAACAATTCCTTGGACCATATGCCACCAGACAGGTACCGCACTGTGACCTCTGACTTGTACCATCAATCATACTGTCTGTTATCTGTTTCACAGACAGTAGAGGTGTATCAGTCGCTCAGGAGCGGCCATGTTGGCTGAAGGTGCGTTGACAGATCAACAAACGGCTTGGCCGACAAGTCAACAACCTCTCCAGTGTCTTGTGTACAAACATGGGGAGAGTAAATAAACCCTGGCCTTAGGTGTACCACTGAGTTACACCCAGGCCTGCAAGAATATCCTATTAAAGTGGAATCAACTGGAACGTTGGCCCCCTCCCCCTTCCACAGCTACAAATGTACTGTCACACATCATGAAATGATGTAAGAATGAGCACATATATGTACAACCTCAAGGCTCAGATACTTTATCATCAGAATAGCTGGTACAATCGCCCTTTGGGAAAACACACCAGCTTCGCAGGCATGTGGTGCCGTGACAGCTAGCTACATTACACCAAACGACTTGGAGCTATGCAGGTATTTCTGATGTCTACCTGCATCTAACCTGCACTGGTCCATGTACTAGCCTAAGGTTTAAATATATTATGGCTACATTGGTTGGCACCACCCAGAAATAATGGTTTCTGATCAGTTTGTAGTGTGATCCATACTTCCTAAATTTTGTCTGGTGCAGCTAATTTTCAATGTGATCTGCAGCAGTGCAGGTGTGTAGGAAAAAGTATTTCGAGCCCTGTTCATGGAGATACATGTACACAATCTACATGTACTGTGTACCTCCTTGTAAAATCTATGCATTTTAAGTGACAAATAAAATCAACACAGACCTACATATTACAATGGATGCTCTTTATTTATAAATTATATGCAGATAAAATATGAAAGGACGTCCGACTTATGACAAAGCTAATGTTTATATACAGCAGGGGAATAATGCAAAGTCATTGCATCACCTATAGAAGTGTCATCCTACATACCATGCAGTAAGTCCAAATAGGACTCCCGAGAAACTTATATTTGACATCATTTAGAATTGTGGACAGTGCTACCAAACTGCTCTACATTTAATGTCACTATTCTCCTGTATTCACATGAATATTTGGTAGTCAAGAACCTCTATTCGACCATCTAGAACTAGTTTTCTGGAAATTCTATTCTTCCCTTCATCATGGTATGAGAACAATCAGCTGCTAATTATTTCACATAATAAATACTCAGTGTACAAGTCTGATATTGAACCTGAAAGGACAGTGATCACTATTGTATATGCTGTCATACCGATATCTTACCATCATCTATTTACAATGCCAACAGTTAAACAAAACAGTAGAAAGATTTACACCTGATCACTACAGCCATATCTTGAAGGAGACTTGTACAAAATTTTCACTGGTAGATTTGTGTATCTGTTCTGTTGAAAATAATCCATAAGCCCTAGGAAAAAAATGTAGTGTTTCCTGTTTCAGTATTCTTTTTTTTTTAAAGACTTTGGCGATCTCTAGTGATCCAACTTACACCAAAGAGCTCCTTGCTCATACAATACAGATTAACAAAGTAAAACTTGCATGAGGACACTTGTATGTTGGAACACCAGTTGTACATTGTACGACGTTTCATCACTCAGGTGTCAGATCATGGAGCTAGAAAAGGTTCATCAGCTCGAAAAATTTATGTCCCGTTGCATGGGTCTACACAACAAAAAGGCTAGGGTCAGTTGGGAAATGGGGAGACACAGCATTTTTTCCTAGACCTAATACACGTACACTTGACAGACTTTTAGCCCGACCTATCCTACACCCCGTGGTTAGGTGACCACTACAGTGGGGGGCTGCTGAGTTTGTTGGCGGTTCATCATGTACGGGGCGCCGAGGAACTGGTCAGCGATGCGCCCTGCCTCCCGGAGTCCGCTGAGCATGGCTCCGTGGACCGTGGCCGGGTAGTTCCGGATGGTGTGCTCGCCACCGAAGAACAGTCGCGGCATGTTACTGGCCTGCTGATGGTGGCAAAACAGGAACATGTCAATGTCAATGACTTATTAAAGTGTAGCCTTACTTTTTCTTTTGACTGCTTTCAATTCAACACTATCTAGTCCTTCTAGTCTAGCAAGCCTCGCTTCCAACTAGGCTGTTTGAGTGTAGGGTCCCCCTATATTGCGAATTGGACCCCCTATGCTATGAATATGATTTAGCCCCCTACACTGCCTTTCAACCAGCGTAGGGGTGTACCTTGTAACCATCCATATATCTTTGAATAACAGAGGGAAAACAACACTTGACAAAATTTGTCCTTCAATAAGCAGGAAATATTGTCTTCACAAAGTTATGAGTCTAAAAATATTTCAGGGAAAATGCCAGAATCCCTATTGTGGCCATATCTTTGGGACTGGAAGTTATCCTTCTGTACCTGACCCCTATGCTGTGAATACTAGTATACATGTATATTGGTGAGGACCCTGAAATCTGTAGTAGTTTTGAGTCAATTAAGATTGTCTTATCTTAGTCTGAAGGTCAGTTACTATCTAGCAAGACATTGTCTTCAGTGATGTCATCAGCCTTGCAGATTATGCATCATTCTTCAGACTTTCATCTGGCCAACTAGTTAGGCAAACCAGTAAGCATGCCATTTGGGGTTTTTCCTATATCACTTATCAGTTAGGCAAATTCTTCACAATTTCAGTCTAGCTAACATTCAATCTGGACAACAAAGTTCTTCCAGAAGTCTACAATAGATGCTCAATGCAACTCGCGTGGCAAAACAAAAAATATTCTGGATGAGGAGATCTGTCCGATGATGACATTTACTGCAATTTCAGAATCTTACTTAATTATTTCATACTTGATGCATTTGAAATAGCCCCAAAACAAGCTACTTGATAAGTCCCTTAGGATACCAAACAAGCAACCTTTTTCAATCAGCAAAATCAAATTTTTACCTAACATAGAATGGTATTGGATAGGGTTACCCGTTCCTGTTAGATTCAACTTACTACATTAAAAAAAGTTCAGAAGTGCCTTTAAAGTTCTCTAAAAATCACGTCCAGTTCTCACCTGTGGTGTCCCCGGAACGGCTGGGCTGGGAGCGACAGGTGTGGCCATTAGATCATAGTCGTTCCCTGACGACCCCGCCGCAACGTAGGAGTACGATCCACGCGACCACGGGTCCGCTCGCCACCGCGTCACTACCGTCTCCTTGGGCTGAAAACGACACAAAAATCCATCTTCACGTTTAACAAGCTTGAACAAGATCGGCGAAAGACGTGGTTGCTTTTCTACGGTAGTCTGAAAGTCAGTTACTATCTAGCAAGACATTGTCGTCAGTGATAACCTCAGTCTTGCAAATTATGCATCACACTTCAGACCTCTACTTCAACATTTCATCAAGTCATACCTTAGCGAATGAGACAAGTAGCAGTAAGGTTCGAAATACCCACTCTTGTTGCACTAGTCTTGTTTTCTGTGTGGGATATGTATTAGCCTGGGTACCATCCTACTTGTATGCCAGCATACAAGTAGGATGGTACCCAGGCTAGATACAGTGTATGTATTGGAGATGCTAAGTTGCCCTGTTATCGTTTTTTGCGAAAGTTATCATTTTTTTTTCAGACAAAGCGACATTTTTAAAGTTTACAGTAGCCCAGCTTATGGCTTCTTAAATGAACTGTGTCCCGCCTCGGCCAGTATGTGAGCGTTGAAACAGTTCTTGTTGAAGGCAACCGCGTGATAACTACTAGCGGTACAGGCCTGGCGTTCTATTTGGTCATCACACAGGCTTCTAACAGTTCCATAGAATAAATCGAACATGTTTTGCCGTGTGCACAGCTTTCGAAAATTCGAGTACCGGATACCCGCATTGGAATTGATGTTGTTAGATCTTTTTGCTTACATTTTGTAGGGCAACCAAATTTGGTGCACATTGGAATAAGTGTTGTCTCGGATGTGTAGTACATAAAACATCGTCCGGATTAATTTCCCATATCTCAGCAACCTTACATCTAGATGGGCTAATGTCGTTAACTACAGGTAAAAATGATGTAAGAAATACGTAACAGCCATTGAGGACCCCTTAGGGGTTAACCCAATTCTGCGAATTCTGGAACTGGAGCCAGAATTCTGGGACTGAAGCCAGCCCCTGAGGGGTCCTCGATAGCTGCTATGTATTTCTTACATCATTTTTACCTGTAGTTAATGACATTAGCCCATCTAGATGTACATGTAAGGTTGCTGAGATATGGGAAGTAGTCCGGAATTAAACTGGAAGTCCGGAATTAATCTGGGCACTGTTATGAATAAAATACAACATGCATGCCTGTAGCCAGGATTTTGAATGGAAGGTTCTTCCCAGTGCTTGAGGGAAGCAGTTTGAGGGAAGTAGAAAATTTTGAAAAATGAAACTTCTAAAATGGCATTTCGTGCATTTTTGAGAGGATTTCCAAGAAAAAATCAGATATAAATTTTTATTCAGTGACAAAGGGAGCAGTTTTTCTATGTTTCCAGTCCATCTTTTCAAGAAAAATCTTGGACCTTTACATGAAAAGTGGACCAAAAAGTGGACCTTTACATAAAAAGTGGACCAAAAAGTGGACCTTTGAGCCTTGTGGGGGTTCTTCCGAACCCCCCGAACCCCCCTGGCTACGGGCATGACATGCTTTATTCCATGTCACCCTCAGTCCTAGCCTTCCTTTCAGTGTTATCTACCTGTGGCACGGCACTGTTGCCAAATATGCCCTTCAGGACGGTGATGGCTCGTCCAACAATCACGTCATCGCTCACGTTCTCCATGATGGCGGCGGCCTCGCCGGCCACCAGCGCGATGAGGGTCGGAGCCTTGTACAGGTTCCAGAACAGGAAGAGTTCCCCGCGGCTGGCCGTCGTGCTGCCCACGTGCCCGAACAGGTTCACGTTAGGGTCCCAGAACACCCGGTCAAAGCACAACACAACCTGGGAATAACACAAGCATGAGATCTCACATTTCAGCGTGTCCTTGCAGTAGCTTAGCATAACTAAGGCCTACGAAAAAAAAGTTGTGTTATCTGTTTCAGTCCTGAAAAGATTAGGGTCCGTAGATAGGGATTATCTTTTTTTTTCTTTTGACCTTGGCGACCTCTCTATATACATGTATTTAGCTAGTGATGCAACTTATACATTGTACAATACAGTTTAACAAAATAATTCTTGCATGAGGACACTTATATTTTCAATATCAATGTTGGAAAACTAATAATATACAATGTTTCTTCACTCAGGTGTCAGATCATGGTGCTAAATGGTCGATCAGCTAAAAAAAATGTCCCTTGCTGGGGTTCACCCAAAAAAAGTCTAGGGTCAGCATTTTTTTCTAGGGTCCGTCAGGAAACAGGAAACACAACATTTTTTCCAAGGTCTAAATCATGCTCCTAGCGGCCCCTCTGTTTATTGGGCCATAGCTAACTCTAAAATTGCATGACCCAAGTAACAGATTTTCATAAACCATCAATAAATCTGCCTCTTACAACTTCATCTGTGTTGATAAAAGTCACCACAAAAATGGGACTTTGCCCCAATTTTTTCAAACCTTGACAAAGACTGGAGTTGTACAGGTGAAAAGTCTGATTTCCTGTGTTGGAAATTACAGTTTGAACTTGTTTCATAATTTTATTTATTTTATTCATTTTCTATCATTTCCATCCAGGGTTGCCCACTCAGTGGTTAACATTGCTTTTCTGTGGGGCCCTGTATCATACATAAACAAACATGGAAAATACATACAAACAAATACACAAGTCACATACAAACAACAAAATTTTGTACCTTGTTAAGATTGCCGTAGCCCATACGGTGCACAGCTGCCATCTTCCACTCTGGTAGAGGAGGAAAGAACTGCACAGCTGGAGGCTGTTGTTTCAGGACACCCAGGGGGAGGGTACAGAGGACAGCGTCACACTTATATGTGTACGTCGAACCTCCACTTCTCAGGTTCTGTGCAACCACCTCACATCCTAGATAGTAGGGGGAAATGTCGTTAGATAAAATGGAAATGTACATATGTTCCATGTTATTTGCTTTATGTCAATGTAATTAGTTTGTTTTCTTGCTGTATCTATTGAGTATGTACATGTTATGTATTTATTTTATTTACCCAGTGACATACATTTGTAGTCCTGAGTGTAAAATAAATAAATGAAATAAAATGATCTTGATCCAGTTTTAGCTCATTGAAGAGCTAATCTCCCACTGGCTGGTCGTGACAGAGAAGACGGATGCTATATGTATGTACAGTATTTACATGTTCATTGTACGGGGAAATTCCCCTAGCTCCTTTCGACAAGCACAATGAACAGCGGACCATCCTGGAAATTGCCACCCTTTCCAGTAGGGTGCATGTTGGTTGGGCAATAACAGCCGGGATTCGAACTCCCAACCTCTTGGTCCATGGCATGGCCACTAACCACTGGACTAGGCACGCTACTGAATATAGTCTAAGTGTACAACTTTTGACTTTCTTTTATGCAACATGACATATACATATATATTATAATGTGAAGCATTACAATCCTATGCATTAAAACGTCGTAATAAAGGAATAGAATGTTGGTTGAAGGTGTTGTCTAATCGTACAACTTTCAACAATTGCTCATATAATATTAATTATTTCAAAGCAAACAATGACAACAAAACTTGGCATTAAAAAGCATGTAACAAAAGGAAAAGAATGTTAGTTGAAGACGTTGACATATGCTGAAATAAAAGCTCAGAAGAACAGAAACACTCAGAACTTGAGCTGAGAAAAAGAAGGAAAAAAAACGATTGTCAGTAACTGTTGTAAGATGTTCAAAGTCAGAATCTACTATCCAGCCACTGTCTGTGGTTCACTCATGGAAGGACATCATCAGACCTTCTTCTAGATCATCCTACTTTGAACAAGAAAGAAACAAGAAAAACAAGTCAACAAATGTTACTAAAAAAAGTGAAAAATAAGTTAATAAGATCAGAATTAAGGCTCGAAATACTCTCTGCATATGCAGGTTTGTGCAGGTAAAATTGAAGCTGAGCAGGCTGAGATATGAGATACAAAATTGACAATGGCAAATGTTTCTGGACAGTTTTTAGTTTGATCCATACATCCTAAACTCTGAGTGGCGCAGGTAAAATTTGTCTGCTGCAGGTAATCTTCAATGTAAGTGCACCAGTGCAGGTATGCAAAAAAAGGTACTTCAAACCCTGGAGTTTAAAGAGTTAGGATTTGATTCCCCTTTTTTTTTTTAAGAAAGTCTCTGACCTGAGGGTGTGTAGCGGACTTGTCTTATCGCTGTGTTCAGTTTGATGTCCAGTCCTTCCGACAGCGCCACGGGCAGACACGAGTATCCGTTCCTCACCGTGAGATGACTCCCGGAGAACTCAAAATCATCGTCCTGGTCCCAGTGTTTGAGGGACAGGGTGGAGAGGGGCGTGGCGTTGGCAAACTCCAGGTTGGCAAAATGCCAGTCCAGGATTTGGCGATCTCTTGATGATAGATACACATCACTGCTTTGTAGCACCAAGACACAGAGAGAGAAGTGGTGAGTACAATGATATGCTCAAGACTAGGAAAAAAAAACGTTTGTGTTTCTGCTTTCAGTCCAGAAAAAAAACTAGAACTTGGGGCTGAGATTATTTTTCTGTTTTTGTTTTAAATTTTGGCTGAACTGATCCAATAAATAAAGACTCGTCATGCTCGAAGTAACTAATATTTCACCAAATTTACTCAATGAAAATCTGCTTTTAAATGAAATAATTTTTTAAAGGTTAGAAATTCAATGGAAGTGGAAACAGTCAACCTAAAAAGTGGAAGTGGAAACAGTCAACCTTTTTTTTGCTGGGGTCAGTCAGAAAACCAGAAACACAAAAGTTTTTTTGGAGACAGTAACCTGACTACATCACACTTCTAGTAGCTCTTTCATTGGTCAGGGAGAAGACCTAATCAGCCAATGACAGTGAGAGATTGTGTAACACAGGATAGCAATGTGAAGAAAGTATAAAAAGCAGGATAAAGGTATTGAAAGACAGATGTGAAGAAAACATCAGGTACAACCTTGGTGGGTTGGCCTCTAACTCAGACAGTTTCTCTTCCAGGCCATTCTGCTGTGATGTCAGCTCATCAAACTCCTACAATCAAGGGAAACATTTAGGATATCAACCATCATGTTTGGTAGTGACAAAAACCCTTAAACTAGAGAAGTAACATTTGCAAAGCAAATGCATAATGTTTACCTTTGGACATGGTCTGCCCTGTTAATTTTCACTCGAATACATTTACATACATTTGTACATGTACTACGAGTATATGGTGACAGGAGTAGAGCAGACCATGAAATTGAAACATTATTTAACCTAACACCAGTCACCATGGTGACAGACGTCAACAAATCATGTCATTGGTCAGGTCAGAGGTTAGTGTTTGGAACAGAAGAGGAAGAAGAAATGTAGTAAAAACAATGTTTTCCTTTGGTAAACATAATTAAAAACATGAAGTTACGGAATGAGATGATAAAGGAAAATACAAGATTCAAAAGATAAATCTTGATCATAATGATGTGATAAATTAGTGTGTAATTTTCTTCACAAGTGGGACAATTCTTTCAAACCATAGCCTGGATTCTCACTAGAGTATTTTTTCACATCATACGAGTCAGGTACAGAAGGACAACTTTGCATTACGTCCCAAAAATCACAACCACAAAAGTTATAACCATCCTAGACACTACTTCCTGCTTTTTTGAGGGACAAAATTTGTAAAGTAATGTTTTCCCTGTTATCGCTTCATTCTCAAGTAAAATTGTGATTTAAAAAAAAAGATTTATGAAGGCTCCCCCAAAAAGATACACCCCTATGCTAGTTGAAAGACAGTGTAAGGGGCTAGATCACAGCATAGGGGGTCCAATTCACAGTGTAGGGTGTCCTATGCGCAAATAACCTAGTGAGATGAGCATCTAACAGTGTACAAAATACTTTTTTGAACCAGGTTGCTCAGTGGGCAGCCTATGGCAAAAATTAGGTTGCCCATCAGAATTTTAGGTTGCACCACCTGTAAGTTACTACTTTCCTCAAATTAAGTAATGTTACATACATAAGCCTTTGACAACATTTCTAACAGCCTTTAGTTAACTGATACTAGTAATAGCCATTAATACCTAACATTAAAAAGCATCTGCCGGATACAGTGGTGCAAGCCATGTGGGCATGATGGGGGGGGGGGCATTCTTAAAATTCAGGTAGCACACTGGGCTAACTAGGTTCAAAAATAGGTTGCCCCAAGTAAAATTTGGTTGCCCGGGGCAACTGGGCAACCAGGTATTTTTCACACTGATCTAACACAGTTTCCTAGCGTACCTTGCAGGTAGCAGACAGGTCCCTGTGTTTGCTTTTCACCAGGAACTCTGCTGTGATGTCCCGGGGTGGTTTCACCTCTGACGCCTCCTTCCACTGCCCATGGAGCTCTTTTATCTTCTCATACAAACTCGACAGCTGAAATACACAAATAATAAAATTAAAAATCCCAGTCAACATTCTGTCGGTACAGAAAACTATGTTTTTCCTTAAAATCCTGAACAAGGAATCAGTGATATAGCCAACATAGGCAGTGCTTTTGCATTTACAATCCCAAACATAGCTAAGCTTGTATCCCTCCTTGTGTTCTCTCGTTTTGGGTTTTCATGAATGTGTTGGATTGTTCTGGGGATTGTATAATGTACTTCAATCGTGTATCACATTATTCCCTGAATTCCTCTACATACCAACCACAGTGAAAACCAACTTCCACCCTAGCCTTCAACTGTCTGTACTTGAAACAACCAAATTTACAAGTCAGCCACCCAAAACAATACTCGATACTTCTGCATCCAGAAGAAAATAAATCCTATAGCTTATTGACTACTGCTGTGCTTGATACTGCTGCAGTAGTGATAATGTAGTTTGGACTGAGACCAAAGTCAGGAAACAGCAAGGATGACTTCACAAGGCGACAAGCCTTCAGGTCTCCAAGGTAATCATCATACTGTGGTCAACAGTCAACACCAGTGCGGAGGTTCAGAAGCAGTCTGCACAGATTTTAGTGATGACTATCTTCTATACGAATAAAAATGAATCTGAGTTGAATTTGAGTAAAATTTGACAAATGAACACGCCCCATGACCTACATTGTAGTCCTGAATGGTTGGCTGGAGTTCTGAAGACTTACAGCCGAACACTAGCCAACTATGACCAAACCTCCTGATCAACACTGTTGTTTGAAACATTTTGGAACATTGTACAGCTGAACAGTAGTCGACCTTGCCGAACACCAGCTGACCACGCAACTTTGCTCTGACCTACTCCTAACCATGGTTGGTAGATGTAAGGCTAGCGTTTGGAAGGCTAAATTTGTAAATGTGTGACGGGGTTCTCTTGATAATTACATGTAATACAGCACTGGGCATTTCAGTTAGCATTTACCAGCAGAGCTCGAAATTCATTTTTGGGAAACCTAACCCTAAAACATTAGGTGCACAAAATATTTTTGGGGTACACCATATGAAACAAAACCTAATTGCAGATCTTACTGCTCCTCTTCTGAGCTTGAATCTAAAATGAAAGCTAACTTCAAAATCTTAAACAAGTACTAGAACAAAAATTTTATTATTTTTCTAATACTTAGAGACCAAGAATATCCGGTATACATTTATACATTTCTAATGTTCAAAATTCCTACAAAAGTATTTGGGTGCACCAGTGCACCCACAGAAAAAAATTAGGTGCGCAGCTCTAATTTTGGGTGCACTAAGGTGCACGTGCACCCAGTATTTCCAGCTCTGACCAGAATTGATTTAAGAATGGTATCATGATCCAATTTAAGAGTCAAGAGTTTTCCTCTAAATTTCTACAAGGCAATGAATGTGCGGTGCCAAACCTTCTGCTGGTTTCCCTTCATCTCCTCCTGTAGTTTGATGATGTTCCTGATGTGTTCACACTGTTTCTCCTTCACATGTTTCTCCTGTAACCTAGAACACAGGAAAATAGGACAGTTTGTCATCTTCTGTTATCATACTATCCTGAAAGTTCATCTGTGTTGGTACAATGTAGTTTCATGCTTGAAGTTAAAACTTTTGTTCCAACACAATGGATTGTTCTCACCTAGAACTTTCGACCAGTCACTCTGGTCTTGTTCAATAGACTGACCCAGTTGCATACAAAAATGCGACCGAAAACCTTCGAAAATGTGGAAGGATATTTACTTCCTCGGAGGCAAAAAATATTGACATTATATTTTTATAGGTATAATGTTACATATCTACGTTTTTAAGGCCATACTGTAAATCGTACAAAGCAGCTGCAAAATGAGCAAAAATATGCCTTAAGTTTAAAAAAAATATATTGGAAAATGATACTGAGTTATCATTATATATTAGTTGCCTATGTGTGTTTAGTCATTTGTTCAACCTTCATGATCACATAGATTTCAGAACTAAAGCAGCCTTTTTTGCCAAACTTTTTTTTTGCACACTTGAATCAGTTTTGGGAGGATGTCATCCATACAATGAAATCAACATGATTGTCATCCATACAATGAAATCAACATGGTCTAACTGTAAGCTATGGCTCTCACTTGATAACCAGCTCCAGTGCCTGTCCCAGGGACACAGGTTTGCCCTCCAGGTAGTTAAAGTCCAGGTGATGTGAGAGGTACGATGTTGCCTCCAACAGGCGGTTAAACTCTCGCTCCACCATCTCATCCTTGTCCTTGGACACCTGTCAGAAAACACCAGCAGTAGGCTTGTAAAAAAGTGTGCACAGTTCCGAAATTGATTTATGATGAGAATTCAACTTTTCCCCAACTCAAGAGAATTGACTCACTGGAATTTTCGACCAAATCACTCGGTCTTCATCAGCTTTTGAACTATGAAAAATGATCCACTTCATCAGCTTTACGTATACAACCCTGCATATTATAACAGACTATTTCTGTAATTTTAACTGGAAGGAAACATTGAAAACTGTTTTATATTGCATTTTTGTATTTTTAACATGTGGTAATTTTTAATGTAAACTTGATATGCAACGAATAGGTTTTTATCAAATGTAACGAATTTTTATCAAATAGCTGTACTATAAGTGCATACTGTGTTTTAAAGCCTTCCCAATTCAGCCAAATATGGCTGCTTACAGGCTTTGTGTGTACTTGTATGGCACAAATAAACCAGTCTCTCTCTCTCTCTCTCTATTTCTGACCCAAGTGCTGTAGACACATGACTTTTACCCACGTGTGACGTCAGCACTGGGTCAAAGTTCGTAAGAAGTCAGTACCACCCCCCGACTTGGGCCAGAAAGCCAATGAAGACCGAGTGATTCTGGTGAGTCAATTCTCTTGCGTTGGAGAACAGTTTAATTCTCATTATGTATTGTACCAACTCAGATGAACTTTCATGCCGAAATGAATTTCATCAGGTTGGTAGAATATAGCAGGGTTCTCACCATGCTGTTAGCATGTAGAGGTGCCCTATGCTATGATTTGGACCCCCCATGCTGTGATTTAGCCCCCTATACTCTCTCTTAGCCACCATTTCTTTTTGGAGGAACATCGTGACCTTTCATAAATCATTAAAAAAAATTGAAATTTGATTTTAGAATGAAACTATAACAGGGAGCATATTACCTTTACAAAATCTGTCCCTCAATAACTGAATAAGCAGGAAATAGTGTTTCAGAGGGTTATGAGTTTTGAGATTTTTCAGGGAGATTGCCAGACCCCTAGTGTGGTCATGTTTTTGGGACACATTGCACGGCTTGCACCATGGAAATTCTGTGAAAAAATTCTGGTAAGAACCCTGTCATAGCCGGATACTGGAGTTTTCTTTTACACAACCAGTACTGTCTCTCGCTTGCTTATATTTCTATTCTTATCAGATATCTTAGAGCTTCCAAAAGCGCCAAATGTATATGTCTTATAACAGCAGCAAGAAGCAGAACTCCAGTCAGAAGCTCTGAGGAAGATGTCTGACAGACATTGAAACATAAGCAAGCACAAGACATTACTGGTTGTGTAAAAGAAAACTCCAATTTTAGCATGGATAGTTGTCAAAAATCACTTCGTCTGAATAGTGGCAAATTGGGCATTGAATAAAAGCAAAGTTGCAAACTTGACATAAAAAGTTCAGGCTGCCAACCAAGGAAACCTTGTGCAGAAGCAAAAAGCAAGTGAAGACGTAGGCTTCCCTACATTTTTTCCTCAAGAGAAAATAAAGCAACTAGCAAAATAATGAGAAAAGCACCGATTACTTCTTTGCCAGACACCTAGCCTCAATTATCAGCGAGTTCTTTCTTGGCTTCAGCAAAGCAAGTGAGCCAAAACTGCTGTGTTCAGGATATATGAGTGATTAGTAGTAGCAGAATGCATGGATCACTACAGACCCTTCCATATTTTTTGGCGACACACCAGGGGTGGAGCCAATAAAAGTGCCACCACTACAATAAGTAGATACTTAGCTGAGTGATACGTACAAGCTTACATCTACCCTCCTGGGTTTGGCAGCCGGCCGTCAACATACAAAAGAAGACAGACAAGTTTAAATACACATTCAAATAACATCATGTACAAATGGCCGACTGACCGTAGCATACAAAATTTTACATGATGTTGCATACAATCAGTTTGGGCCATTTTAAATCAAAGATAATATGTCTAAAGCCCTTGTCATACATTCATGAACTTCACCCGATTTGTTCCCAAACACCAGCCAACCAGGTTCCACTAACGTTCAGGAGCACTCTTGACCAGATTTAGTCTACACCTACCTTTCTATAAGAATCAAACAGTTAAATCTGAGTCAAATTTGACTTCAAGAAAAACATCTGAATGGTTGGCTGGTGTTCTGCTAACTCACAACCAAACTACAATGTATGATTGAACTGACTGACCCGTGAATGTTTTAAATATTCTGAAACATTTGACTATCGCGGGCAAATAGTAGCCGAACTTGCTGAATACCGACCGACTTTTCTCCGACCTACTCCTAACCACGGTTGGGGGTGTTCAGCTAGTGTTTGGAAGGCCATATTCTGCTATGTGTAACAGGCTTTAATTGCCAAGTCCAAAATGTGTAAACCGTTTGAAGCAGTGTAAAATGTTATTGACAAGTCTTCCGTTCTGTGGCACTTAGCGATATCACCTACCGTTTGCCCGTCCCCCTCGTGGAGCGGACATTTCTGTCGGATCTTACTCAGGTGCATGTCAATCTGCCGGCTCAGCACAGTCACAGGATTTCCACCTGAACAGGTTAAAATAACATGAGAAGGGTACTGCGAATCACGATTTCTTTGCAGCACTTAACTATTTGCGGCTTTCGTGCTCACTTCTGTACTGCGAACTTATCCTTACTGTGAACAAATAATTCAATGACTTTCTTTTAGCTTCACCTGCTGCCACCACAACTATATAGTTCAGCGAACATGTCCATTTTTCTCAGACTGCGACCTTTTGCTACCACGAACATAAAAGTGATTACAGTTACTGTAGTCAGTCTGTGTCCAATTCTCAAAACATGCACTTGACATGAAGAAACTTTGCAGAGGGACATAAAAAAAACTTCCTAAATTCCTTTCTTAAAAAACTTCCAACTTCTTCCAACTTCGACTTCTTAAAAAACTTCCAACTCTGGTTGTGCATTCATGGAATTTAGACATCCAAAAGAGGACACATAAGACAATAATTACTTTATCAACTGCATAGATTTTAAAATCTGTCAGATGTTTCAAGTAGCATCCACTTCTTTTTGTCTCATTCTTTGACGACTAAAGATGTGTTAAACTTAAAGTTTTGTATCTGACATCTTTAGCATTATTCTTGTTGTTGGTCTTTTCATGTGCTACAATCTTTGTAGTTGTAGAAGACAAGTCTGCAGGGAGGATGTTAAATATTTGAGCTAGCCAATAAAGCCTTACTCACCCAGCCCCGTTACTACCATTGCCCCCAGGTCTGCAACATAGTTGCCCTTCCGGAAGGTGGCAACCCTCCCTCCAACTCGGTCCTGAGGACAAAGAAATGACCATGTTGGCATTTGTAACTTAACAACGTAACGTTAGCAACATAGCTCAATACAAAAAATACAGAATTTTCAATGGCATTTTGGCCATACCAATTTAATTTGTTGGTTAAAAGTGATGGCGAAAAAAAATAAAAATAAAAACAGGTCTAGGCATCCTATTATAGCCCCAAATGCTACGATAGGAGCCATGAAGTCAACACAAAAGGCTGGGTTAATATTTAAACAATGGATTTTGAAGTTTTAATCAAACCACTGCATTGATATATGGAAAAACTGTAACAACTAGGAAGAAAAGGACTTTCCTCAACTGTTGGGGGCAAAATATGAGTATATTTGAGATGATTCAGAACCAGAAGTTGTTTTTTTTTGCAAATGAGAAAAAAATAAAGAGGCAAATCCGAGAACTAACAAATTAAATTGGTATGGCCTTACTGTCTTGATGAGTGTGCTAACACATGCGTTGGAAGCTTGTATCAGCACTACACTATGACAAATTTGAAGCCTCTTACCGGTACTCTCAGTTACAGTACAGTAAGAATACAGTAGTCCATGTCAGATACTATCTAGCAAGAGACCGGCTTCAGAAGGCTCAGGCCTTCAGGTCTCAGTTGTATACATCATTCTCTGGACATGTTTACATGCAGATTTGGTACAATAGTGCCATAATATAGTCAACATATCATAGATGATCTCAGTTTCTCACCCTTGCTTCTAAGACTGTGACGTCCATGCCAAAACACTGGAGCTGCCGTGCTGCTGACAGTCCTGATACTCCTGCACCTATCACTATCACCTTTCCTATCTTCTTGGCTGTATTGGAAGGAAATGTCATCGGTTAGCTGCTTTGCTACAGTTTGTGAAAATGTTTCAAGTCAAAGAAACTTTGTTAGTATTTGGGAGAGAATTGAAAGTCTGAATCACATCTAATTTAAATGTAAGTCACATTTATTTAGAACATTTACAGTCTTCAAAAGAAGTGACTTTAAAATCTCAGAGAAACAAGTATATCAGTATATCACCTAGTATGCGTCATGATGCAGCATGCAAAATACCTGGTTACCCAGTTGCCCCGGGCAACCAAATTTTACCTGGGGCAACCTATTTTTGAACCTAGGTAGCCCAGTGTGCTACCTGAATTTTAAGAATGCCCCCCCCCTCCCCAAAAAAATCATGCCCACTTGGCTTGCACCACTGTATTGGGCGGATGCTTTTTTAATTTTAGGTATTAATGGCTATTACTACATGTAGTATCAGTTAACTAAAGGCTGTTAGAAATATGGTCAAAGGCTTATGTATGTAACATTACTAGTACTTAATTTGAGGAAAGTAGTAACTTATAAGTGGGGCAACCTAAAATTCTGATGGGCAACCTAATTTTTGCCGTAGGTTGCCCACTTAACCTGATTCAAAAAAGTATTTTGTACTGTTAAAATACATGAATCAAAATGTTTAAAACATTGGACGGGAGGTTCGACCATGGTTTGTTGGTACTTGGCTGTAAGTCAGCAGAACACCAGCCAACCATTTGGGAGTAAGTCAGTTGTGTTTGGGGCATGTACGGGAGTCAAATTTGACTCATATTTAGCTCAAATTCGTTTTGATCCCTGTAGAAAGGTAGGCGTGGCCTAAATCTGGTAAAAATGCTCCTGAACGTTAGCCGAACCTGGTCAGTTGGTGTTTGGGAACAAATATTTGGGGGGAAGTTGTGAATGTGTGACAGGGGCTTAATATAGTGGACATGCTACATGTATAACATCACATACTTGGGAGTGGTTTGATGCGCTTGTACACGCCAAAGTTGATGTAACCATGTCTCTCCAAGTAGCTGTGGACCCTCATCACCAAAGTGGTATCACCTGAAAATAAATGGGAACACTGTCAGTGAGGGTTACATGTATGTTATTGCTCAAAGAGTTATGAAATGCAAGAATAGATTATGATAGCTAATTTTCTTTTGTCTAGCAAACATATTTTGGCAGTAAACAACAAGAAATGTCTACTTACTGTTGTATGGTGCCTCGATTTGTGGCAGGGCATTCTCAAAAGTCAGCTGCAACTTGGGATTCTCTAACCAAAGCTGAAGCTGTATTAAACAAATATACAATGTCACATACATATCAAGACATACATGTATGCAGTTTTGGAAAGCATTACACTTTAAAAACTTTCTTCTCAATGTATTTTAATAAAATTTAATTAATGGTTTATTGGCCAAACATCACCAGTGCGATCGCAGCCTTATAGTTCTGAATTGATGCAGGGTTTACAATCAGATGATACAAATGGTAATAATACACATAATGATACACATAATACACATGATACATATTTGTTCCACCTACATTTTTGTGGAACTGTCGCAAGGGTCTGTGCGGCTGCCATTCGGCGCCACAAAGTGACCTCAATACAACTTTCCCCAACCGAAGTTAGGTACCCATTCACACCTGGGTGGAGTGAGGAAGTGTGTAAAGTGCCTTTCCCAAGGACACAACGTCGGGGCACATGTCCAGACATGTCCCGGGTACAACTCGGGATCAAACCCGGGTCTCCCGGTTCACAGTCGAATGATCTACCACTATGCCACCCAACGCCACTTGTATGGTTGAATGTAGACAGACAAATAAATTGTTCAATGTTTGAACGTACAATTTTGTTCCTGATGTAGAGGAAGAGTTTCTGTGTTTGTTGCGGACTCTGGATGATATCTGGGAAGCAGGCCGCCTCTTGTGACGTCATCTTGTCGTGTGGGAGTCTGCTCTGGAACGCTGCACCTTCCAGACCTGTTACTGCATCTAAAACAAGAAATGGTAGATGTTTAAAGTTAAAAAATGGATCCAATAATACAAACCTACTGCAGCTCATGATCAGCCACCTAAAACAATACTCCCACACCACAAATTGTACAATTATAGTTCCAAACCAGTACTGCCGGGTTATAACAGAGGGAAGCTTTAACAAAGGGAAAACATAACTTTACAAAATTTGCCCCTTAAAATGTTGGCCAAAGTCAGCGTGCAAAATACCTGGTTGCCCCGTTGCCCCGGGCAACCAAATTTTACTTGGGGCAACCTATTTTTGAACTTAGGTAGCCCAGTATGCTACCCGAATTTTAAGAATGCCCCCCCCCCCAAAAAAAAATCAAGGCTGTCAAAAATATTGTCAAAGGCTTATGTATGTAACATTACTTAATTTGAAGAAAGAAGTAACTTATATGTTATAGGTGGGGCAACCTAAAATTCTGATGGGCAACCTAATTTTTGCCGTAGGTTGCTCACTGCAACCTGGTTTAAAAAGTATTTTGTACACTGCTATAGAATACTAAGAAGCTTCTGGCCAAAAACGATCTCCAATAGAAATCTCCATCTAAAAACAAGACTCATGACCAAATGCCAAAAAACAGTTACTCAAGCAACTGGATATGATTTTGAAAACGTCAGACGTTTCAGCTAGTATCCACTAGCTTTCGTCAGTGACTGAGAGACCAGAGGGGAAAGCAGGTTTATATTACACAACCTGTTTATTGATATGCAAATAAAGTGAAGACAAATTTTTTGGAAGTCGAAAAAGGAACAAAAGTCAGTACAATTCAAGACAAGATGATGCAAATTAGTCTGAAAGCTCCTGTTATACAGGACAGGAGCTTAAGTGTTGTCTGTCCTCGGGGCTGGGAGTGCCAAATCCCAAGTGCCGGAAAGATCGACCCGTAGCCCCCCTTCCCTGTTGAGGGTGGGGTTGTACATTCTTTCATATATTGCCTCTTTAAC